TGAGTTAAAATAGGTGACTAGCCATGCCTAAGAGCTAAATGCTGTTGGTAGCTTTTCTATCACCTAGCTGCTGCTGTACTGCATTTTCTGGAGATATGTAAAGTTCTGTATATAAAACTCAGTGCTCTGAGCAAGCTGCTTTTCCAACGCACAGTTCTGCCTCTCCATCTGAGACCTGAAGAACCTCCATTTTTTAGTCTCTTACACTGATACACTCTCAGACCAGTGACAGCGCCTCGCCTTGAAACCTATAGGCTTGTCCTATTCCCAACAGCTTAAAGGTGCCTTTCATGCTGCTTGGGTAGAATTCCCCCTCAAAATGCTTTGATGCAAATTTTGCCCTCAGGGACAAAGCCAGGGAAGATATTGTCCCTGCTTTGAAGTCAGTCAATGTCTTGCTATAACAAGCTGTCTGCTGAAGATGGAGACCCTGCTGGCCTAGGGAATGAAGTCTAGGTTTTTTTTCAGGTGTCAAAGCAAAGCACAGTGGTTAACACAAGCACACCGAGCCAGGTTGTCTCTTACAGATAAACAAGCTTAAATGACAATTCAAAAACCTCAGAAATGCTTCTCCAAAAACTCGTAAAGACCAGAAACTAAAAATGGCATTTTTGGCATTCCTCAGGACTACTCTATTTCACAAGCTTCCAAAGTGAGGAATCCACAAAAAGTAAGAGCAGTTCACAAGGCAAGTCCGTTAGCTGGATGAGAGCTCCTTACCCCCACAAAGGAAAATCTACGTCCACAGCACCATTACTTACAGATTCCTGCATGGGGTGGCTGAGAGGTTTGTCGAGAGCTGCCATGCTGCTCGGCATGTCTGGGGGATGTGACAGCTGTGGCCCATGCATGAAGTCATTCATAGACGTGCCACCGGGATTCCCGTGTGGGAAGTCAAAATTGCCATGACCTTGGTAACTGTTGCCTAAAAGAGAAACAGATGTGATATGAAAGAAACTGTTTGTTTCCCAACATTGATCTCTCGGAGTATCTTGTAAAAGCTGTGCGGCATGGCATCCTCCCCACACAGCACAGGGCAACTGCAACGCCGAACGTGACAACACTGCGCTCCCCACTGCTGGAGCGAGCTGGCGGAATAAGGAGGGAAAAACGGCACTCAGCTTTCAAATACTGGCTGCTGTAATAATTCATGTACATGTTGTAACTAATTGAAAACTGCTGACATTTTGAAAAACTACTGTCAAGTCACCACATAAAACTTAACCAAGCCGAGAAGTGAAAGGGATATTAAGTTCTCTGGAATATTTGCATATGGAAGCACCTCAGTGCAACCGAGACTGACTGCCCGAGTCCAAAATTATTTATAGGACACCTGTGTTGTTTATGTCTACGCTTCTATGCACTCAGTAAGATGGTAGCATCGCTTCCGTTTCTGATGAAGCTAATTGACAGAACTGTATCCGGAAGATGCCACAGTACCAGTTCTTAGCACAGCATCTATTTTGCCTCTTCTTCTGCAGTACAAACAGGCAACTTCCATTAAGATAATGCAAAAGAGGCCTTCATGTCTAATTGGGGTTTGTGACGTAATTCTCCTTGCTCCCACAAAACCTAGTAAAATTCACTTGACTGTCTGCAAATACAACATCTATTTTCCCCTCTTGGATCTATTCTTCTCATTTTCAGAGTTACAAACTGGCTGCCTGTAGCCTGTGTTTCAGCATGCGGATATGCATGCTCGTAACGAAAAACTCAGAATTTACGAAATCCACCTAACTTCAGCCTGAACCGATGTTCTCCAAAGCACCAAAATTTCACACCAATTCGGAATAAATGGTCGGGATTTACCCCGACACATCTACCATCTAGCAACAAGCCTGGAGTTCCCTGCTGATCTGCAGGACAAGTACTGTATGACCATCGTCGATATGTTTTGATCCGTCCCATCTCAGCTCAGTGATCTTCACTTGAATTCTAAAGCAAGCATGTATCCCAATACAGGGATTTTACTCTCTATATTTTCTGTTCAGATCCCTCTCTGTTAACTCTTCCAACTGACATACCAACTCTGGTGGCTTATTTGCTATGAACGGCAAAAATTGAACTAAAGCCACTCAGCTATTTCGTATAAGCAACTGACTTGGATGATACCGAGCTCTGAAATAATAGAATAGCTTTGGAGCTTGCACGGAGAGCCTGCAGTTCGTCAGCTGAAGTACAGCAGCTTTAAATGTTCAAGTCAAGGAGGGAGTTTGACAAACTGAAGTAGCTGCATCATTTGCTCTTTAGCACAGCTTCACAAGCAGAAGTTTAATCTCGGAGGAATAGAAGTCATTAGCCATGTAAGAGTATTTCTCAAAGAAGTCAGGACTTTGATCTATCATGTAAATACTGCAGAGCCTTACTAATTCTCATTTTGTTAATCTGCAAACTGGATGAGTCTCACAGAATATAGCTGGTCTTGCCTTGCTTCTCAGGAAAGATTTAATAGCAAGGAGCTGGAATAAGGTCTTGTATTACTGAGTACTTGTTATATTTGCAAACTGAACTTCGGTATGCTTACTGTCAAGCCCAAATAAACAAACATAAACCACAGTACTACTACTACTACTTTACTCTAGAGTACTGTTAATCAGAGGACATTGCCTAATTCTAAACACCAAGTTTCAGTGCACGTATTGATGGAGAACGAAGGTGCAAAGGCAGTATGCCCAGGGAGTTACAGCCATGCAGCAGCATGCCCTTCTCTGAGGCAAGAGTTGTGCCACATGCTGAGGGACGAGTTGTGCCACATGCTGAGGGACAGACCTATAAAGACATTTAGGATAATCTGGTGCTCTGCACTGATATGCCTACTGCAGGGGCAATAGGAGACCGTGGGTTTCACCCGCCATCGATGAGTCAGGGCTCCGAGAAGCAATGACTACCTCTGCTACAGGATCCACAGGGGAAGGCAGGGAAGTAACAGTCGAGGCAGCAATCGTTCCACAAACCTTAAACCCCACTTTACGTGACTACCCTGTCCGTTCCCGATTATGAGCTAGAAAGCTGATGAAGAATAGATGGCTCTGTTCTCATGCTCTGACTGCACTTCACTCCTGCTAAACGAGTGAAAAATTTGTGATTCAGTGCTCTTGGCTTTGTTATAGTAATCATTCATCTGTTTGAAAACCTAAAAAGTTTTATCATCTGTCATCAGTTATGCAGTCATTGGAGCAAATTAACCATATTTTGCATGCAATCTATATTTTTCTTCAAATGCCTGCAAAAAGCACATATATCACCTTGTAATCAATTTGGGGATTCTGATGGTGTGAACAGTTGGTCTTTTCCCAGAGCTGAACTGAGTCATATCATATTACTTGCAAAAGAAACAGTCTCCGGTTTCGTATTTTCAGAATTGTCACTATAATTGAGTTATTCACAATATACCAGTCATTTGAAAGCGTATCTCCGCTGCCTATATTTAGTTCCCTATTTCTCAATCTGGCAGCATATGGGTAGGGGAACTCAAAAGTAATTTTCTAATGCAAAGATGTTTGCAAAGCAGTTAAAATCTCTTTAAAAGTCATCCACTTTCTGGGTGGCCTAGCAAATGTCACCCACCTGGCCACAAGTTAAACTTCATGGCCCAAGTAGCAAGGTTAATGGGTCAAGTTCTCTGCTTTGTAACTTCTGTAGCACTAGGAGCCTTCACTTGAACGAGAGGGGAACAGAAGGAAAACGGACAGAAAAAATGAGGGAAGATGTATATAGCGGCAGGCCATGAATATATAAGGTAACATACAATGTTGGTTGATTCAGGGAGGGCTGCATGGCAATAAATACGGCAAGCACCAACTTCCTGACTAAAATATATTTCCCCTGAACAGATGAATCTTAAATGAAAAGACTGATGCGGAATTTCAGAATTGCAGCCATATAATTTGCTTTCCTTATGCATCTCTCTGAGAAGTGACATACCCGAATCACAAAGTTGACTGAACCACTGACTTCTAGAGTGACCACCCGGGTGCACAAAGCTGTAAAACTAACCTTGGTTACCATATTCAGTGGAGTTGTTGCCTCCTGGAGGAGGGGGTAGGGATGGGTAAGGTGATGGGCCAGGACCCAAAGCTGCAATCATCTCCATCACATTTGGCATGATCATCTGGCTTGGACTCATGGTCTTAAATCTTTTTGAGGGAATGCCATCTGGGTCATCTTTGATGTGAATATCTGACTTTATAGGGACCGGCCTCCAACTGCAAGTTGGATCAATGGTAACTTCTTCAAACTCTGAGCTGTAAAATGTGAAAATTTTAGCACGTTAATTATTATTATTTTTTTTAATCAATTCTGCTGAAGTTTCCGTAAGAATCTGCATGGCAACAAATGTTTTGAAATGCTCTAGTATAATACAACCTCAAGATCTTTCACTCCTCAAGTGTGTGCTGAAAGCAAGTTTTAAGTAAGGCAACTGTGAGAGCACATTTCTGTGTTTATCCACACAATGAAATCCAAACATATCTATGTGGTCTGCCACGTGTGAATCAGAGGGACTACTTGTAAATACGAGAAAGCATTTAATTCTCCATTCTCACTCTTCCCTCTGCTTCATTGGTGAGGCTGCCATCAACAGATAACCCAAACGATCTATTAAGTAGATGGAAACTGATTCACTGTATCACTAACCCCACCAAGGAGCCATGAAAATAGAATATTCAAGTTCAGTCACTAAGACCTACTTCGGCGTGACTACCTCAGTACTCATTAACATATCTCCTAGTTGCTTAGTCTTGGATATCAGAAATGAGTAAGTTCACTTACTTTTGTATAGCGTTCAGAATACCCCACATATACTGGTCAACCTCCAAGCCCTCCAGCAGAGCCGTTTTACTAGAAAGGAAAAAAACCCCAAACCTCATGTTAGAATATCGCTACACGTGTGTAAAAGGGGGATGGAAGAAGGATAGGCTCGTGATGAAATCAGTAGACTGGGGTCCACCAACTTACTATCTGTAACACGTAATTTAGGAATGATTTGGGGCAAACAGTTTTAGTTCTACATCTGCATTACCAGGATAATAGTACTCTACATCAAATGGATGAGATAAGGATACAGCTACTTGTGTGTATCCACAAGCTGCTCACATCCTTTAAATTTTTTTTTAGTGAAATACATTGCGAATTTAAAGGCTTTTCAAACATAGCTGATCTCTCCTGTGAACATCAGCTACATTTTTTTTTCCAAATCAGATCTTTTTTTGTTTTGAGCTACACGGTAATACGGCTTCAAAGTAACTATGTATTATAGTTATTTTACTTAAGATCAGCACAGATGGGAACAGAACAAAACAAAAACGGAAATGATTTAGTTACGTAGGCACTTAGATCTGAATGCAGGTGCTCATACTCAGGAGAACTAGGACAAAAATTTTGGCCTGGATGTACGAATACATAAATTAAGAAGCAAGACATCCAATTCTTGTGATATTTTTAGCCTAACTTAGAAGACAGAAAAGATTCAGGTAGTTCAGAGAAAGCACCTGCACTTTAGGATACGTATCAATCATGGATAGTCATCGAAACAAGCTCGTCTCAAGCCTGCGATGTCCATAGAAGCAGACAGAACGGACAATCTCCGCTCCTGTTTATACCTAACATCGGCTGGTGCAGCAGGGGTTGAACTGGAGACTTGCAGAGATAAAATACAAGCTGCTACAGCTACAGCTGCTTGAGCTGAAGAGCCCTGGCGCCTCAGCTGAGGCTGGAACAAACTCATAACCCTGTGGACTGAGCACAGTAGGTTACAGACACTGAACTGGCCTGCAGACGTTCTGCGATTCTTTCTGCCCAGTTAAATGTAAGAATGGGCAGTCTGTAACCACTTCAAAGCTTTTTGTTCCATTTCTTCTGCAGTATACTAGCTCTCTGGTCAAAACATAAGGAGGTTGAAAGTATGCCAGGATATCCCTCTTCTCCTTTAAGCAATCGCTCCAAACTTCTGCTCCTTGGAAATCTTTTACCTTTTTTAAAATCAGCCTTATTCAGGACTAGAATGCTTCCTGCTTTCTGCTCTCACTTTAATTTGCACTTGATGTTGACTTTGACCTTGGAGGATCCAACTTCATTTCCTACCTAATTACTGGGAAATGTCGCAGTCTCCAAAATTCCCCCCTCTCCTTGAACGCTGCCATTAACTGCATATCTATGTGACTCAAAGCACAGCACCTGGGACAGTTATTTGGCATCCTTACTTAACGTTCAGCTGGATGCTATGATTGGAGTGTTGGGATGGAGGGATACAGGCTCTTTAGGAAGGACAGGCAGGGGAGACGAGGAGGGGGTGTCGCCTTCTATGTCAACGACCAGCTGGAGTGCATGGAGCTCCGCCTGGGGACGGATGAGGAGCCGACCAAGAGCTTATGGGTCAGAATTAAAGGGAGGGCAGGGACAGGTGACATTACGGTGGGGAGCTGCTACAGGCCACCTGACCAGGAAGACCGAGCAGATGAGGCCCTCTACAGACAGATAGGAGCAGCCTCACACTCACAAGCCCTGGTCCTCATGGGTGACTTCAACCACCCCGACATCTGTTGGAG